GGTGTACCTAATAAAGTGGCCGGTGAGTGTATTTACCAAAGTGTGAGTGATTGTATGGTGTGCAGGGAATTCTTATCTCAGACCAAAATACTCAAAGATGAGGAACCACCTTAGTCTTTTATGGTAATTTATTACAAAAATATAGGAAGAACCAATTTAATTTAATCATGAAAAAAATAGTAAAAATAATTATCAGGTAATTTTAGTGATTTTTAATCTTACTGCAGAAGGAAGAGTTTTTAAGTTTGCCTTGGCTGTTTTACCCAGGATTGATCTGTGAACCATTGTGTAAGGCCTTACACAAGGCCTCAAACTTCACACACGTGTACAAGGTGAAGTTTGTGATAGTGTTGTTTTAATGAAAGAAAATGACCACACGATCACATGATCTTGTACCAGGTTATGGAATAATTACATGTAATACCCACTGAATATATGTACATGTACAGTACATTACATGCAATGTTATTTGGCTGGTTTGACTTGTCCACGACCACTTCACGTGTTTGTTAACCCTTGGTTATGATCCACTCAAAAATGAGATATTTTTGTTTCAAAGTTAGGACATGAAAGGGTTAATTATTTAAAAAGGCCTTGGGATGCATGTAAAATACCATCTAAACTTGTAATTTTATGTGACAGATCGTATTTTAACCCTCACATTTCCTTGCACAAAGGACATGAATTTTGTGAATTTCTAACTGTCCCTGCTCACCGGAGCGGGAAGCGTTAACTAAGATTTTGGTGTCATTGGGAGCAGAATGATCCCCTCTACCAAAGGTTTCACCCACATTTTCAAAATTATTATCTGTGTTAATTTTATGGTGATTTTTCTGAGAGTATCATTTTTTTCTGATGCACCCTGTATATAGGAGAGAGCAGAGAGGTTATTGAGCCTAGTCGTTCAAAAATTAGCAGTGATTACATTGGCTTTATAAGCTTTTATGTTTTATTTTTTCATTTTTTTAAAGGGGCAATATTATGTAAAATCAACTGTTTTTAGTTTTATATCATGTCATAATGTTATACTCTCATAAAAACATGCCCAAAGCC